CTCCTAGTAGTAAGGCCAGGAGCCCCTAGTAGCGTCCTTGCTCCTAGTAGTAAGGCCAGGAGCCCTAGTAGCGTCCTTGCTCCTAGTAGTAAGGCCACGAGCCTCTAGTAGCGTCCTTGCTCCTAGTAGAAAGACCAGGAGCCCCTAGTAGGGTCCTTGCTCCTGTAAGGCCAGCAGCCGCTAGTAGTGTCTTGCTCCTAGTAGTAAGGCCAGGAGTAGCGTCCTTGCTCCTAGTAGTAAGGCTAGGAGCCCCTAGTAGCGTCCTTGCTCCTAGTGGTATGGCCAGGAGCCCCTAGTAGCGTCCTTGCTCCTAGTAGTAAGGCCAGGAGCCCCTAGTAGCATCCTTGCTCCCAGTAGTAAGGCCAGGGCCAAGATGGGCCAGCATGGGCTCAAGCTGAGCCAACATGGGCCCAAGATGGCCCAAGCCAGACGCAAGCTATGCTCAACATAGCCCCAAGACCGCGCAACAAAGGCTCCAGATGGCCCAAGCTAGACCTAAGCTGTGCGCATCTTCAGCAGCTACGGCCACTCCCTCACCCTCACCCGCACCCAATCTTCCACCCTCCAGCCCCCTACCTCAACGCCCCTGGCAGGCTGTCGGGCGTAAGCCCTTAAATAAGGCCAGGAGCCCCTAGTAGCGTCGCCTCCTAGTAGTAAGGCCAGGAGCCCTAATAGCGTCCTTGCTCCTAGTAGTAAGGCCAGGAGCCCCTAGTAGCGTCCTTGCTCCTAGCAGTAAGGCCAGGAGCCCTAGTAGTAGGGCCAGGAACCCCTAGTAGCGTCCTTGCTCCTAGTAGTAAGGCCAGGAGCCCCTAGTAGCGTCCTTGCTCCTAGTAGTAGGGCCTGGAGCCCCTAATGGCGTTCTTGCCTCTAGTAGTAAAGCCAGCCCCTAGTGGCCTTGCTCCTAGTACTGAGGCCAGGAGCCCCTAGTAGCGTCCTTGCTCCTAGTAGAAAGGCCAGGAGTCCTTGCTCGTAGTAGTGGTTAGGCCAGGAGCCCCTTCTATCATCCTAGGAGCAGCAAGGCCGGAGCCCCAAGTAGCCTTCTTGCTCCTAGTAGTAAGGCCAGGAGCCGTCCTTGCTAGCGTCCTTGCTCCTAGTAGTAAGGCCAACCCCTACTAGCGTCCTTGCTCCTAGTAGTAAGGCCAGGCTCCTAAAGGCTCCTAAAGGCCAGGAGCCCCTAGCGTCCTTGCTCCTAGTAGTAAGGGCAGGAGCCCCTCCTTGCTCCTTGTGGCGATGCCAGGAGGCATCCTTGCTCCTAGCCCCTAGTAGCGTCCTTGCTCCTAGTAGCGTCCTTGCTCCTAGTGGTAAGGCCAGGAACCCCTAGTAGCGTCCTTGCTCCTCCTCTGAGGATGGTCAGCATGCTTCGAGTCTCCAAAGGCGAATTGCTCCTCCCCGAGGGCCCGCGCCTGCCACGCCGCCGCCGCCCGGATGAGCCCTTGCCCTCGGCGAGCTGCCATCAACCCACGTACGGGTGCCCGATCTGGCAAGGGGGGAGGAGATCCAGGAGTGATCCAGGAAATAGGTTTGGAAGATTCAGCAAGTTTTGAAGTGTGTCATTTCATGATGATTCCTTTGGGTCCTACAGAAAAAATGCCAAGACATATGGGGCATAGTGTTATTGGTGTTGATCAAGAGTCAGTAGCGGACAATTTTGCAGATCAGCACAAAAGTTCCAGAACTGTCCTGAACCTGTGCTTCGCCAGGTCGATAGTATTGACAGTTAGCTCAGGAAGAGGTTAAAGGGTGCAAACCTGAGAAAGCAAGGAGAAGCATCTCAGTCAACAACCATTTACTGACCAGTCCTATCGCCTATAACATATGGGTCAACAATGTATCCGGCTACATTTCACTGGCTTATTGACCCTGATGCTCAGCCAGGGTTTGAGTGCTCAGGTCCTCCTACTGCGCCAGCCTTGGGCTAAGCTGAGCTGGATTGGGGAGAGGCTGTCGTCCTCTTTCGTTTAAAGCTTTGGAACCGTAATGCACTTAGAGGCTTTGAGAGAGGAGGGTTTCACCCTGACTGAGACATGTGCTCATGTAGGATCATCCATAGGCTCCCCAGAATAAGAGCTCCAGGAAGAACATGTTTGAAAGCCTTTTGGGTCCTTTGAGCCTGGCTTTCCGTGATCATGTGGTGGGCTGGATGGTCCCATTTCCCCCCGAAACAAAACGTGGGGCGAAGAAAGCTTCACACCATGTATCCCTGCTGTCGACCCTTGAAACGACGTGCGAGGTGTACCCTACATAGCCACCCCTTTGAGCTCAACCAACACAATCTGGTGCCAGGGCTGCATCCTTCACACTCGGCCTACAGCTGGAGAAGCGTTTGTTGTCGACGGATCAGCTACAAGACACAGCACGTTCCTTTGTTCACCCATGGGTTCAAACAGCATTGCAAATCTCAGATCCAAAGTGCTCATGTTGATCTAGGTTCCATCTTCTACTTTGATGCTCCTTTTAAGCCCGTCCACCCCAGGTTTCTTTGCCCGTCCAATGTCAGGTTTTCTCGCCCGAGAGCGAGTGGCATTTTGGAAGCGGCGGAGGCTGAGTGCTCGGCCTTGAGACTGCCGCCGTCCGCGCCGTCCGCGCCGCGCTGCGCTGCGAAGCCGCGAAGTGAGTCGAACCGAATCCCCACAGGTTGTTTTTGTCTTCAGCGAAACGAGCACAGCTTTGCACACAGTTCTGTACACAGAAGAAATGTCGACCTTCTTGGGGAGCCAAGAGGTTGGGTACAGTATTTGAGCGCAGACATTGGAGCCTAGACATTGATCTTGAGATGAGGAGCCTCCCCAAGGTAAAGGGATTGCATGATGGCAGGTTCCATATAAAACATATAAGACCTTTGTAATCTGAAGCCACCACAACGCGCAACACGTAATCCCGCTTAGGTTTCCAAGCGGGGTTGGGTGGATCAGGAGCTTCTCTACCATAAATGTTGACAGTGCCTGACTTTGAATCGATGCGGGAGTTTGAACAAGCATATAGCAAGTTATCAATTATAAGGTGTGATCAGCTGTTACTATTACCGTATTAATCAATTACCTGGATACATAGCTCCATAGAACCAGCTTATTCGGGTCATGGTATGCTCGAACACGGTAGACCTTGATTCTGCTTGTGGCTGATTTGGTTTCCTCGCGGCATAGGCTTGGTCGGCCTGCAGTCAGCATTGCAGTCGGTGGCGCATGAAAACACATGAACAAAACTATCAGTATAGTGGGCAACTCTTCCTCCTATACAACATCAAGTCGCATCTTTTGGGGGAGAGTTTTCTCCATAGATGGTGCCCTGCTTTGAGCGCTTCGGAGCTTACCATCCTTTGCAATAGGGTCACTTGATGACGTGGGGTCAGCACCCATGACCAAGGAGAGGTAGCGTAGGGTTCCAAAGACTAGGGCCATAGTAGTAGTAGTAGTAGTAGTAGTAGTAGTAGTAGTAGTAGTAGTA